GTTTTCATTGGTTATTTGATAAAATAAAATATTCTTGACACCTCTTATTTCGAAGAACTTTTCATGTAGTTTTTTTATATGTAAATTTTATTTTTTATTTCTTTACCAATATGTAAATAAAATGAATTGAAAAAACTTGATATTTTGCCTCGGTAATAGAAATGTGACAAATAATTTGGGACGGAGGGAGTATTACACAAATGATCATCCTAAAAAATACTTTATACAAATAGTCCAAGATGGCGAGGCTATTTTAAATTAATTTATAATAATGTAGTTATTTGATTAACATATTTCATTTACTTTGACCTCGCAAATAAATATGTTTTGAATAAAAAAAGAGTATGAAGTACGGAGTAATTAATAATTTAAGTCTCTGCAATTTGCTTTCTTCCAAGTTCTTTAAAGATCCGTTTGGTACACGGAATTGGCTGAATTGAAATTGAATTGAAATTAGAATTCTATAGAATTGAATTAGATGTAATTAAATCCTCTAATTTTAATTTATTTTTTGCACTATCAATCCTAAATTCATACTCCCTCCGTTCCTTTAAACCCTTTCACTTTTGACTTTGGGCAAACATAAGGAAAGTGTAATTTTTGTTGATTTTCCAATTTTGCCCTGATGTGATGGGTAAAAATAAGATGTGATAATTTGGTTATTAAAGAAAAAATATGATGTGATAGGTAGGGTATGAAAAAATAAGGGTAAAAGTGGTTTTTTAATGAATTCAAAAAAACGAAAGGGGAAGAGTTTTGTGGAACGGAGTGAGTATATTTTTATGTTATCAAACACTAGAGTTGAAATTAAAGTTTTCAATTTCAATTTCATGATTCAAATTTCGTGTACTAAATGAAGTCTTGCACCATGTTTGGTTCAAGGAATTATGAAAAAAAGAAAAGAAAAGTATTTTTTCTCATTTTTCCTCGCCAAAATAGGATAAATTTGGTTTTTCCACGACTTGGCGTATTTTGCCTTCTCATTTTCTTTTCCTTCTACTTTTCTTTTCTTTTTCTCTCTAACCAAACAAGAAAAATTGTTTTCAACTTATTTTGTTATTTTCCTTTCAAATTCATTAAACCAAACATATACTCCCTCCGTTCCACAAAACACTTCCGTTTTAATTTTTTGCGCATCCCATAAAATATTTCTATCCCATCTAAAATGTCTAAAATACCCCTAAAACAAATTCTACCCGCAATAAACTACATAGTGGGGTATATTTTAGATATTTAAGGTGGGAGTAAAAACGTTTAATGAGGTGCGCAAAAAATTAGGGCGGAAGGGTTTTAAGGAACGGAGGGAGTAATTAGTTTTTTACTCCCTCCGTCCCTATTTCAATTACAAAATGGGAATTACGAGGTAAAACTCTATGACTTTTGAAATTATTTAATTTACAAATTGGTATATCAATAAGAAATAAAAATTACATGTTAAAAACTACATCAAATGTTCTACAAAACAAGAGATGACAAAAATATTTTATTTTATAAAATAAATAATAAAAACATACAAACAAACAAAAGTTATCGAAAAGAAACAGAAAATAAATTATAATTAAAATGAGTGGAGAGAGTACAACATTTCCTTTTGTTTTTACAAGAAGATCAATCGTTTTTAGTGCGGTTACTTACGAGGAGTAATTTCTTCTTCTTTTTTTTCCCGAAGGCAAGGGTAATTAATAAACGCTGGTTTGTTTTCAAGGACCATGCTACACACCCCACCCTTACTACCAACCTTGCCTCCACACACTTCTCCACCACATATTTATCTCTACCCATTCTCCACTCACCCCACCATTTTAATTTTCTTACCTCCCTACCACATGTTTATGTAGGGGGCATGGATGGTAACAATGGTGGGGTTTTTTAGCATTTTCCTTGTTTTCAAGGGCAATTATAACGAAACGGACTGGGGGCTATGAATTGTAAGCAGAGTAATGAGAGCGGCCCAAAAGGGCAGTCAAAGTTACTCAAAACCACGACCCCACCGCCCCCCCACCCTGTCGCCTTCTTTTCAGACAGGCCCCCCCAAAGTCTGCTATTTCCCGTTGTGCCCTTTCTCAACGTGGGGGCTCTGACACCGCCAGCCCTTCCAATTTACCACTTTGCCCCCGAGCGCCGGACCAATCAGTCAATCACACCTTCGGAGTCTCCGCTTTTTTTCCCTCACACGCAACCACCGCCCACCACTGTTCACTCCTCGTTTTTATTCTTTGCCCCTCGGGATGACCCCATTTTCACCCCTGCTCCTACTACTTAGGTATTGTTTGGATAAAGAGAGAAAATATGAGAAAAATTGAGAAATGTTAGAGTCACAAACACTTCAGTCACAAAATACACAAACTTGCTATTTGTGCACCTCACCAAGTGAATAAAATAATGTTAAATAATTAAAAGGTAGATATTTAAATATACAAATAGTAAATTTGTGTATTTTGTGACTGAAGTGTTTGTGACTTTAGCATTTCTCGAAAAATTAGGTGGAAAGAAAAGGGAGAGAAGATAAAATGGAGAGAAAATGGAAAGAAAATGAATGTTGTTTGGATAGGTAGAAAATGAAAAGAAAAGATAAGTGGAAAGAAAATATGTTAAAATAAAAAGACAATTTCATTCTTATTATATATTTATATTTTTTAAAAGTGAATGCAATAGAGGGCAAAAGTATCATTTCCATAGTTTTCTCTCCATCTAAACCATTTTCTCGCCTCTTGAGAGGAGAAAATTTTTTGGTTTGGGGTGGAAGTCATTTTCCTTTTTCTCTCCATTTTCTCATGCAAACGAACAAAGGAAATTTTTTTGGGAAGTGTGTTTCCTCTCCCAACCTTTTCTTTCCTTTCAATTTCACCCCATCCAAACACAAGCTTAGTGCGCCTACAACCCTCTTAATTAAATCATCCCTTTCTCCCTTCCAATTTCCTCTATGTTTAAGAGAAAAAAAAAGTAAATTTTTGAATGAATTCTAAATAAGTTTTAATTACCTAAAAAGTCTTCTATAATTAAGATTTATTTTCTTAGATAGCTTTTCATAACTAATGTTACATAAATGATGATTAATTGCGAGTATTTTGGTATTATTTATCAGCTAAATTTAAAATAGGTTTTAAAAATGATCTTCTAATGAAATGTTTTTCCAAAATGGTTTTTCAATTAAAGACATGTATTTGATTCAAAGTTTAAATTTTTTTATATAAATTTTTAATAATTCTTGAATTATGTATAGTCAATATATTATTTTTGTTTTACATTTAATTGTATAGAAATAACCATTTTAAGAATATACTTTAAATTTAGTTAATAGAAATACCAAAATATTCTTTAATTAATCATCATTTAAGTGATATTATTTACGAATATTACCTAAGGAATAAATCTTAATTATAAAGGACCACAAGATAATTAGAACTTATTGAAGACTAAATTGTGAAAATACCATATTGCAAAGGACTATATTGAGAATTTACTAAAATAATCTCTTTCAATATGTACTTCTTCCGTTCTAAAAAAATCATATTTTATTACTTAAAAATTATGGAACTTTTATTTATTTATGTATTCTGATTGATAATTTGATAAAATAAAATAATTTTGTCCCCCCTTATTTTAAAGAACTTTTAAAGTTGCTTTTAAATATGTATGTTTATTTTTTATATCAATATTTAAATAAAATAAATTAAAAACATTTGAAATATCACTTCATTTTGTGTGGCGTTTTTTGGGGACAGAGGAAATAAAATTTAACTTCTTTTCTAATTATTTTATTTATCAACTAGTACTCCGTATAAAATGAATTCTACAAATTGCACAATTAAGTTATGTTAAAAGTTCTGTTCCTCCATCCCAAATGTTTGCTACATTACGCAAAAAGAAATGAAATTTCAATTTTTTTCAATTCATATTATTTAAAGATTGGTATAAAAATTAAAAAGTTAAAATTTATATTTTTAAAAATAATGTAAAAAATTATTTAAAACAAGAGGTAACAAGAACATTTTATTCTATCAAATAATCAATGAAAATATATAAATAAACAAAACTTCTTGTGACTTTTGAAATTCTTGCTATTTTTTAATGGTGAATTATGATACTCCCTCCGTCCGGAAATATTCTTCCCATTTTCCTTTTTGGTCCGTCCGGAAATATTCTTCCCATTTCCTTTTTAATAGTATACTTTTTAAGCTAAATATCAATAATACACTTCTATTTTATCACAAATATACTTTTTTAGTACTTTTTTAATAATAAAAGAAGATTTAAAAGTTTATAGTATGTGCATTTTTGAAAATTTTGCATTTTTTACTATTCCTTAATAAGTGTGCCAAGTCAACACGGGAAGAACATTTCCGAACGGAGGGAGTATTCATTTGGAACATGGGGAGTATGCGTAGAAGTTTGACGTAAATTGTTATGCATTTTATTAACCATAACCTTCTATATATACAAGTAGATGAGTTGGCTTAATGTCAAACCCAAAATACATACTAAACCTATTTACCAGAAATACATACTTAACCTATTTGGACAATTCAACACCCAAATTGAAATCTGAGATGTGACTGCATGCAACATTTTAGTGAGTAATATTAAGGAGCTCCAAGTGAAATATTTTTTTGGTGTATCCGAGGTCCGCACAATATGTAGACCTTTTCATACCAAAAGTATCGTTTTATCCTTTTATTTTATGTATAAAAATACTTATCAGAGTAGCAATCATTTGCTTAAAATCATAATTGTAAGCCCATAATAGCATTTATCATCTAAGTATCTTGACTTTTTACGGTTTTTATCCAAAAATAAAATAGTCATTTCTACTCAATAGTATAACATATTAACATGAACTTAAATTTGTGTTATGTCAAATATTTAATTATGTAAAATTAAGACATAAAAATAGGTCTAAAATTTTAAAATAAAGTTAGTGCATAACTTATTCAAAATCATTGTCCACATTAAAACTACACATAAAGAATAGCAAAAAAAACCTAAACCCAAAATGCAAACTTATGAAATTGAATTCATTCTCTGGATGGGTAACTTTGGTAAAATGCAAGATACTTCTATTTTGAACATTGGGGACAACATTTGCTAATTTACCAAATACAAAAGCATTTTGACTAGTCACAATTTTACCCCCTTCCCAAACACTAAATATTAACATATTGCTTAACAAAATGCTCATAATCATACACTCCCTCATTTGTTCTGGACTTTGTGGTAGTAGAGTACATAAATAAAAACTTTGCTTGCTGAAACTCCCATTCTGCATTTCTGCTTGAAGGGCCAGAGAATGAGGCATTGCGCTACGAGACGGTGTCAAGTTATCCCTTTCACAAGAAGTGATATGACTTGACCATGTCACTTGGCTCTCTTCAAATGCCAAACTCCCAAGTGAGTGAAAAAAGCCTCAACTGCTCTTCTTGCATTTGTCATCATCGTCATCATCTTTGGGTGCCAGGCCTATTTCCTGCATTTGATGTTCAACAGATACCAACCCAGTCTCAGCAAGAAACCTGCAGAAGCGCAGATGCATATAAAGATGAACATTAGTGTGGCTGGCAAATTTAGAGAAGAATGGGAAGCTTTGTTTGCCTTGAACTGCAACTTATTAAAAGATGTGATTATGCATCCCTCATCAAGGACAAAACTGCTAAGTGATGCTTTGATTAAATTTAGCAAATCAACATTGCCATTTGCCAATATTCAGGCGGTATTGGACTTCTGGGCTGGAAAACTGCGCCAAGCTAATGAGCAAACCAGAAAGTTTTGAAAATTCAGGTTTAATGTGGACAATGATTTTGCATTAGTTATGCACTAGTGAAAAATATGAAGTTGGTTGGTTTCAAAACCTAGAAATTTGGGCAATACTCGAATTTGCTTTTTCAGGTTGGACTTCAACCAGGTAAGTGCAACAAAGAGGAATGTTAACCAGCATGCTACCCTATAGTCCTACACAGAAACTTGTAAATGGTGGGATGAAGTTAATTGGTTTCAAAACCTAGAAATTTCTTCATTCTAAAATAGTTGCAACATTAGAAATTCGATATCTCCCAATTCACAGATTAAAACATTAATGTCTTGAATTAAGTTCTAAAAAAAATTACAGAGTATAAAAAATGGATGTCATAAAAATTTATACTGAGACGAATCTAACAAGATCTCACATGACAATATTTTCCCTTCACAAAAGATGGTCAGATTAGAGTGTGAGTTGTGTAAAAATTTGATCGTTGCATCTAATTTAGAACGGAGGAAGTACAACACAAATTGAGGTAATGGAAGACCTTTGGTTAGAAGCATATAATTTAGTGGACAATTCAAGATATCGGCAATGTAGAGTCTATCTTGCGAAAATATGAGACTTTAAGAGATAAAGTACTCCATTTTGGGATGAATGGATGATCCAAACTATAATACCTCTGATCTAATTGAGTAGTGAAGATGGCGTAACACATCAGTTGTTGATACAGAAACACATTACAATATGAAGACAACTATGTGATTCAATAAGACAGTCTCCACACTCCCATATACATATGCTAAGTCTCCCTTTGCTATACTAACTCTCCCTTTGCCTATGATGACACGATGAGGTGAGTTTCAAAAACAAGCCTAAAGTTGTTGTGCCTTAAAGCTCCAAGTGCAATGCTCTAACAAACATTACTTTCAGATTCTCTGGTAGGGTAATTTGAACTTTGAAGTAATAGTTTTAGGCACACCACATGAGGGTACATGGGTATTTTGGCAGACCAAACATTCCAACACATTATGCTCATAAGGTATGCACGTTGTGCCGTGTTCTAACATTACTTATGCAAACAAAATTTTAGGCAGAAAAATTTATGAATGCAATGAAAAAATTGAACCAAACAATTAAACAAGCAAGGGCATAAATTTGAAATCTTAAACTCACCTGCAAAGAAGCAAGAAAAGGCTCCCAGTTATGAAAACAAGGAAAGTCACATGGAGAGTCAACATATAGTCATTTGAGGAGAATGCCAAGCCTAGCATAGAAGCCAGACACACAGCCAGCATCAGAAATGCAATCTTTAAAGTGTTCCAAGTTGGAGACTGAGAAAACAATGGAAAAATAGATTTCGAATATTAGAAAAAAGTTATTTACTAGGAGTTGAAACTTAAGCAAAATAAAATTATAGGGCAATAAAGATAGTATTATAAATTGATCGGACATTCACGCCAGGAGCTAGAGCCCCAAAGAACACAGCTTGCGCTGGCGACAGCTCCTCTCTTTTGGGGTGTTTGTTATCCATTGGATCCGTTCTCTCCGAACTTTTTTAGACCCCTGATCAATGTGTTGAAGAAGATTAACTGAAAAGGATGCAAACAGAGAAGCAGTGATTTAAAGCACGAAATATCTAGTTCGGATCGGTAAGAACACAAGTTATTGATAAGCTATGCAATTACATCCATTTTAGGACCCAGTTTGTTCTTTAACTATGTATTTAGGAACCAATTTAGTTCTCAATGGAAGAAAAAACCCATCATCATTGCATTAGAAAATGTCTAACTAAACTGAGTATAAATTGTACCTTTGGTGAATGAATTGAGTCCAAAAAGAGGGAAGCACAAACTGGACAAATACACTAGGGCGGTGGTAGTATGAGATTAAGGCTCTAAGTACACAGTAGAGTCTGGCATTGGCATCATTACACTTATGACAATAGAAAGACTATAGAATGATCCTTAAACCGGAGGTAAAGCCCTATCTATGTAAGGGCAGCAAATGAAGGTGCAGGTAGGAAAGGAAGGTGTAAGAGTGTTTCAGGAAGAGGCTTGTGTGTTCATTCAATACACCGAGAAGGAAACTGTCGACGAGGGAGCATTCAGACACGTTGATTATAATAACTAGAGCAATGGACATGCACATGCACTTAAAGAAGTGCTCTCGAAAAACCATATATTTTATAACTCTTTTATGAGTTATATCTCGTACTAAAGAGGATCCCATCTCATAGTAAGTTGAGAGTGATGGAGAGTTGGAGACTTCATAGTGCAGTCAGCATACTTTAGCTCAGACACACCCTTTACGGTCTTCTTGGACGATTATTTAGAGCATCACTGTTGCAAATAAGATTTAACATCAAAGTGATCCTTTTGAGATTTTCTCCACAGTTCACAACTTACTTCTAGAGTTCTAGCTTTCATTATAAGGTTTTGACAACCCAGATGCTTTGCATAACTTGTTTTTCTAGGGAAAAGACTATCTTGCACATTATGAGAGACCTTTCTACAAGCGCAAAGAGCATTGCGAACATCGAATGAGTAGTACGGTGCAAGGAATAATGTTTTTAGTCTCTTCGCAAATTTGGATAATTAAAAATTGTAAACCAATGAGATGTACACGGGGTCACATGGTCGGCCACATTTTCTTATGCAATGTGGACACTCTGGTTTTAGAGAAATAAGAGATTCCCGGAGTACATGAGAGTTCATTCGGTTGGCCATATCATCCTCAGTCCTCACCATACCAAAAGAGGCCAAATGCACTACTAACTAGATACTTTTGCGCATAGACTTTGCCATGAAACTCTTTTCAGGTGGCCTTCAAGAATGAATGGAGCAGAGAAGTTTATTGATCAGGAGGTGTATGAAAAAAGTTCACGTCTTATGGCACTTGTGGAAGTCTACAAAAGTCTATAACATTCTAGACAAATCTATAGAACTTCACATATCCATAATATTGGAGAGGATTCCTCATACTCCCATACACTTCTATGAAAACTGTAGAATGTTCTAGAAAGTTCTATAATCTTTGTTAATAAAAAAAGAAGTATTCATGGAATGGAGGGCGTGTAATTTTGTTTTAAAATTCTAGTTAATTTGTATTTTCAAAAAGAGTTAAATGCTTTTCTTGTATTTGTTCTTCTTTTTATATTGTGATATACCACATCTATTACTATTCAAAGAGTAATGGGATTATTATATACACATTATACCTCTTAATGAGATTATTAATATGTATGAACTGTGAAGCAAACCTAAACTATAATTGTTTTAAACTTAGGGAGTAATATATAAACAGTTTGACATTAGTCCATTTGAAGGTCATATAGTGCTCCGTAGGGACGTGAAGTGATTCTTACCCTTCTTAACCCCCAAAACCTCAGCCCCCAACCTACTACTTTGAGGGTTAAAGAGTAAGAATCACTCCCAGGCCCAACGGATCAATGTAGGGCTTGGACGTCGTAATATTACACTAGAATCCAATGTCAAAAGAATCATTAGGATATTTAAACCAACATTGATAGGTAGGTAAACATCAAAACAAAAATAACACAGTAATGTTTTTGTTTTTGTTCTAAAAAAACCTAGAAGTAGCAGTGCAGATTACAGAAGGAATGAAAAAAATGGACCGGATCTGTAGAGTGGTATTCCAGTTTTGGAATTATCGACCAAGAATTCATCACATATACAAATATTTATAAATCATGTTTCGCACCCGAATTATAATAATAGTGAATAATAATAATAAAGCTACAAATTATACTCCGTAATAGAAAAAGAAATACCCGAGCTGTTTGGGCCTGTGCGCATATGGAAGAACAATGAAATGTTCGCAGGAATCGCAGCGCAGGAGGACAGAAGTCGAAGTCGACGCGGAGTACAACAAGAAAGAGGGATTCCGACTTCAGTGCCTGAGACTTTGAGAAACGAAATAGGAAGGTATCTCTATGCCTCTATCATGCTACAAGTAGCTTTATCCTAATATATATATATATATATATATATATATATATATATATATATATATATATATATATATAAAGTAGGGTTTATTAGTTGTGGAACTGACACGTGTACACTGACTAGGATGCTGAGATGGATTAAATTTTGCTCACTCAGCTGCCACGTAACCGGAAGGCTAATAGATCTGTAACTTCTCTTCCTCGGCCCAGGCTTCTCGCGACGCGACTTATCGACACTCTTCCTCGGCCCAGGCTTCTCGCGATTTATGGACATGTTTCTTCTTCCAGCTGCTCAAATTCACCTTCAATTCCATCCGTTTTTGCAGGCGAGACGTCGGAGGCAGCGTGGTATCGGGAGTTAATGTTGTTTCTATGTAACCCTAGGTGCGTTTATTACCTCTACTTTATTCCAAATGATTCACCTTCTCTGTGTTTGGATCTTTGTGTATATATATACGTCTTATTGAACAATTGAAATCGACGCACCGGGTGTTAGTTGTGTTCTCTTTTATAATTTTTTGAGCCATGGTATCTTCACTGCTAAAGATGGTAGAAGAATGCATCCCTATTGAGAAATTGACGCTGGAATCCAAGAACAGTGCGATTACAGCACGGGTGTCGCGCCTGTGGGATTCTTACAGATTTCACGATGAAAAAGACCTACTAAGTACAGATATGGTGCTCATTGATAAACAGGTTATTCACAATTTTAAATGTCAGTGTGTGTGTTTCGCTAATTTAATTTCTTTTTCCTGTATTCACAATGTTAACTGTTTATGTGTTTGCGTTTTGTTAATTTAATTTCTTATTACTGTTGTGTGTATTAAATCGCATCTTTTATGTTTTAGGGCTCATATATCCATGCCTCCATCAAGGGGAGTATTTCGCATTTGTTCAAAAAACGTATTGCTGAAGGAAGTGTTTACTATATTAAGAATTTCAATGTTGTTCCCAATAAGGCCCAGTATCGTGTTGTTGGAGACAACAAGCTCATGATTCAACTTTATCCAACTACAGTCGTTAGATCTCTTTCAGAGGACTCCCTGGGAATACCAACATTTGCAATACCGAATCATCGGTTTGATTTACTTGATTTTGATAAGGTGGAGTCTAGAATGGGAGAAACATACATTTTAACTGGTGAGATCAGGTCTTTTACATCTTCTATGAATTGTGA